CTCGGAGGGGGGGGGCAGTGATCTCGGCTACTGCTTAGGAGGAGGGGGGAGGAGGAGGAGAAGGAGGAGGAGGAGGAGGGATTCCTCCTCCCTCGTGCCACCTTCCTCCTCCTCCCTCCTCCTCCTCCTCCTCCTCCTCCTCCTCCTCCTCCTCCTCCTCCCTCTTGCCACCTCCTCCTCCTCCTCCTTCTTTCTCCCTCGTGCCGCCTCCTCCTCCTTCTCCTCCTCCTCCTCCTCCTCCTCCTCCTCTCCTAGCGCCGCGCACATTCGTTTTCAAAAAATACGAAAAAGCTTCACGGATTTAAAGCGGTTCCTCTTCAAAATCTGGCTCTCGCCTTAGTGCCGCGCACATTCGTTTTCAGCATTCGCAAGAGTTTCACGGATCGAGGGCGGTTCCTTTTCAAACTGTGGCTCTCGCCTTAGCGTCGCGCGCATTCGCTTTGCAAGAGTTGTAATAGTTTCACGGATTCCCATGACCAACGTACCAGAAACTGTTTTGGAAGGATTCTGGATTTTGCGGGTGCAACAATTATGTTGACTCGCGGTGTTGAAATCCCCAAAAATGGCGGCGCTCTGGCACGAGTCCGGGTCGTCAAGACGCAGCAGTCAGGTTGATACATGGCGTTGAGATCCCGAGAACAATGCTTTGGCATGCTTCAGGATCTTCAAACGGTTGTTCCCTCAATGGAAATGCACCATTGTAGGAGCCTGCGAAGAGGAAGCTTGGAGGGAGGGTAAAATCCAACATTGTTGATGACCCTTGGGTTTACACTGGTCCTCCTCCTCATCCTCCTCCTCTTCATCCCTCCTTCCCTCGTTCCTCCCTCGATCCTCCTCGTCACATAGGGAACGGCTGGAGCTCGCCACGGCGAGCCTCGTCCACGCACTGGTTCTCTGACCTAGATATGAGGAGCGGCCCGGGAACCAGAGCGCCTCCTGAGCCCAAGGTGGTCCTCATTCCAGCGGCTCGGCTGTACAGTCGAGGCGTTGACCTAAGGAACCCTAAATGAGGAACGAGGCCCCTTTTTCCCGCAAGTTCAACCTCGATTTCCCATGGGAAACCTCAGGACAACCCGAGGCCAGCTTTGAAACAATCAAGGAACACCGAGCCCCTCCCCAACGAAAAGGGTTCCCTCTTCGGCGCCCCGACGGCAGGCAAGAGTGACCTCTGGTGCGCGGCGCTCAGGGACCGCGAGTGGTTCCAAGCGCGCAGACACCAGCGCTGGGGGGGGGGGGGCCGTGGGCCCGCACCAAGAAGCTCGCCCTCCTCGTCCTCCACGCGTCTGCCAACCTCCTGGTTCTCCGCATCCTCCTCATGCTCATCCTCCAGACGTCCGCCAACCTCCTCCTCTTCCTCTTCCTCCTCCTCCTCTTCCTCTTCCTCCTCCCTCCTCCTCCTCCTCCTCCTCCTCTCCCTCCTCCTCCTCCTCCCTCTCTCATCATCATCATCATCATCATCATCATCATCATCATCACCATCACCATCACCATCACCATCACCATCACCATCACCATCACATCATCATCATCATCATCATCACCAGCATCAGCATCAGCATCATCATCCCCGCACGCTGCGCAAGTGAGCAGTCGTCTCAGGGCGAACGCGCGGCGCGCGCCCGCGGCGGCCCGTAAGGCGGGACAGGCCTACGCGGGCGGGCCGTGCGACGCTCTCAGGCGGCCTCGTTCAACGAGGGCACCCGGGCGGCCAAGGGAGGCCGCAGCAGCGCCGCAGGTCAGCCTTCGAAGAAGGAGGGAGGAGAGAGGGAGGGGGCCGAGAAGCTGCAGACGACTGCAATCAGCGGGCGCGATGGGGATAAAAAGAAGCATCCCCGCACGCTGCGCAAGTGAGCAGTCGTCTCAGGGCGAACGCGCGGCGCGCGCCCGCGGCGGCCCGTAAGGCGGGACAGGCCTACGCGGGCGGGCCGTGCGACGCTCTCAGGCGGCCTCGTTCAACGAGGGCACCCGGGCGGCCAAGGGAGGCCGCAGCAGCCACACCCAGGCTCAAAGCCCTTGCGAAGTGACAAGGTTTCGGCGGGCGGCCGCGAGCTGAATGGGCCACACAGCCGGGCCAACATTCAGAAAGGATGCGACGAGGAAGTCGCTGGAGTCGGCGAGGTAAGAAACACGGTCCCGAGCAGCTTCAGCCAATGATGGGAGGACTGCAGAGGCGGCAACATCGTAAAGATATCGCTCCGTACTGGAAGCTTGCCGCCAGCGATCACGCCAGAAGACGCGAGTAATGCCGTCCGAAATATCGGTTCTGAAGCGCAGCGCAGGGGACAGATCGAACCCCGATGGCGCTCTGGCGAGCGGGACGCCCAGCGCCGAAAGAAGATCGAGCCACCGAGTACGGAAGCCGCTTTGACCGAAGGTCAACAGGGGATCGGTGGGAGTCAAATCTCTGAAGACCAGCTCCATCATCCTGACCACTGCTCGGTCGGAGCACCGAGCGTGTTGACGCTCTCCGCCCGACCCCTGGGCCTCCGGAACAGAGATGCTCAGCAAAGCGTCGCCCGCGGACTCACGGCGGTCAATGGGCAGAGTGAGGTCGCTCCGGCGGGCGGTTGCCAACTCACCAGGCCTCACGGACATAGTGAACACGGCAAGCAGCAGGGTGGCCATATCAGGCCAGTCCCATGCGAGGCACAACGCTACCATGGCGCGCAGCAAAGCACGTGGCAGCGGTGGGATGGGACAGGGAGGCTTGGAAGGGATCCACCGTTTTGCCACATCCCACGCCTCGGTGAGGACGCCCCTCCACTGGGGCTGAAGAGCCTGCGCTCCCCGGATCGCATTCACAAGGACGAGGCGGGGGAGGCCAGCATCGTACAACCACACGCCGAAGGTCGCGAGCGCTCTCCCGAGCAAGATGCCGCTGCGGGCCCAAGTGGCAAGTGCCACACCTGTGTGCTCGACGCACCACACGTCAAACGCTTTAAGCGAACGAGTGCGCTGGTCGTCGCAAGAGGGGACGAGCCGACAGTGGCTGTCCACCTGCACCCCGAGGGCCTCGGAAGCCCCCTCGGGAAACGCAGGCGACAGAGAGGCAGGCCACTCCTGGCGCCCTGCCACGAAGGCTGGCGCGGGCGGCTCGCGACCAGACGAATTGGCCGGAGTGGTAGCTGCCGCTCCGGCGAGCGCCCGAACACGCCTGCGTTTGCGCTGTTCGGCGCGGGGGGCCTCGCTGACATCGCCGGTGCTCGGCGCGACTCCCGATTGGCGGTGCGTAGCGCTACCGGCCGTGGTGGGAGCACTCAGGGGCGCGCCGGCATCGGCTGCGGCGGCGCCTCCACCCGAAAAGCCCGAAGCGGAAACGCAACCTCTGATGCATTCGGCAGTGCGAGAGCGGGCGATGCGCAACGCCGCCTTCTGGCGCTCGAGCTCGGCCAAGGACGACTGCAAAAGCTCAACCGGACTTGGGCCCCCAGCCTCCGCGCCTCGACCGAATTCAACTTCGGTAAGGGCGGCGTCGCAAGCATCGACCGAGGCGCGGAACCGTGCCAAAGCGCGCCGTTCGTCCCGCACGCGCTTCGCAACCGTGGTCGTCGGGCCCACGACCCGGCCGGTGCGCAGTGCTAACCCGGTGAGCGGATCGGCACGGGAGTCGGACCAAGTGAAGGCGTCAGCGCGCTGGACGGCACGGGCGTCGGCGAGCCCCTCGGCACGCGAGTCGGCGATCTGGTCGACGCGGGAGTCAGCGAGCTGGTCGGTGCGAAAGTCGGTGAGCTGGGAGGGATGACAGTCAGTGAGCTGGTCGCCGCGGGACTCGGTGAGCTGGGCGTCGCAGGAGTCGGCACGCTTGTCGGCGCAGCAGGAGTCGGGAAGGCTGGGAACCGGCGACACCTCGCTGCGTGCTGCGCTGTGGCCCCACGGAAGCACGGCTCTGGGTTGTGCCGCCCCGGCGGTGGCCGCAATGGCAGCCCGCTCGCGGGTAGCACGCAGCATAACCGCTGCGCCCTGCGAGCGCCCGGCCAGCAGGGCAGGCGCAGAGCTGGCGCGCGGCGCGACGCTATGGGCGTCGGTGCGGCACCCTGGCAAGGGGGGCAAGGTGCTGGCTCGAAAGGACGGGGGCGCCGCGACCGCGGTATGGGCGGCCCTCAGGTCGGCCTCCAGGCGAGCTTGCGTGCGTCGCATGGCGGCAGTGGGCATCGCGGGGGTCTGCACTGCGCAACGTGGCGCAGCCCGCGACCCTGAATCGCACCAGCTAGCGACCGCGCTCGGCTCTGCGTTTGGATACGCACCATGGGCGTTCCGACGCTCCCCCGGCACGCCGCGGGGGCGAGCACCAAGGGAGGCGTCGAGAGCCGAATCCCGAGTGGTGACCCCGCGCGAGCGGTTCGTGTCGTCACGCCTTCCCGCCGCCAAGAGCCCTCCGCCTGAAGCACGGCGAGTAGCGCCGCCAGAGGCCGGGGCATCGGAGCCAACCACATCGCGCCCAGGCCCGAGGATGAAGGCTTTGGCGTCACAGAGAGCACGCCATTTCCTGCTGGCCTCGATCGACGTATCGCGGCCGGGATGGCAGGCCCAACCCAGCCGTCGAAACTGAGCGTTCACGCGATCAGTGGTCGCACCGCGCTCCAGGTGGAGCAGGCCGTGCGCAGCAGCAAGTTTGGCGGCACGAGCTTGGCGGTGGCGAGTCTGAATCGTGACGGGTGGACGACCCAGAAGACCCCCCAACGAAGCGGGAGCCGAGCCGGTTGCCTTCGACAGAAGCGAGACGGGGTGAGTGTCCCCCGCAGGCGTACCAGGTCGAGCAGCGGCGATTGCGTCGCACTTGGCGCGTGACCTCCGCTCGGGCGCACCCTCTCCTGGTCCCCCGCCGGCGGCACGAACTCCTCCCTGCGGGGCCGTAACAGCATCGCTGGAGAGGCGCATGCCTACCGGTGGGGACGGCGAAGGGCTTGGTACCCGAGGGGCGGCCGGCAGGCTGTCACGGGCGCGAGTGCATCGCGACGCGGAGAAGCTCACCGCTGCCGCGCTCGAGGGCACCTCGACGG